ACTCTATAGAATATGCATTGAAAGCTGGCATTTCTATTATTTTTTTTAAATATTCAAATTAATAAACAACTTTGGAACCTAATAAATTTTGAGGGATTAATCTTTTGGTACAGATTCATTAATTTTATTCTGTTTTATTTCAATTTGTGAGTTTAAAAAACAATCACTGCATCTAAAAGTAAACGATTTTAGTCTTTCTCTTTAAAATGTTGAAGTGTTTATGCACACTCTTTTTATTGCGGACTTAAATATGCATGGGCTATCTTCAGTTTTAAAAAGTAAAATAAGTCTATAAATCATTTAAATTGAACCGCCGAAATATTTTATTTTTCTATATATTACATGATATCAGTAAAAATTGCAATTTTGTCGCCGTTACCCCCCCCCCCCTCCCTCTACCCCTTTTCCACGTATAACAACGTCGCGTGTTAAGAGAAAAATAAAGCATGGCTAGAAAATTATTTCATAATGTAAGAATCATTAATTTTTTTAGAAACTAATACATTATTGTAATCGTTTGTTGGCGTTATGTAAACCCATTGCGACCTATAAAATACGAAGCTGGATAGAATAAATCCAAATTTTGTGTTTTGACATGCCCCTTTCCACTGCAATAAAGGCTACCTCCAATTTTCTTTTCATGATTTATAAGAAGAAGGAAAATTGCATGATATATGTGAAAAATAAAGAATTTCATCATGTATTTTTTTAAATTTGTAAATTTCTTTGTTTATTGAATAGTTTTAGTATGTAATTGTGTATAAAAACACGAAAAATGGTCCATATCTTGACAGTGCCCCCATTTCACTACAATAAAGGCAAGGTAACAAAATTTCATTCTAATTTTTCTAAGCATAAAACATACAAGTATATTTCCAAGAATTAAAATTTTTCATCATTCCGTTTTCGTAATTTTCAACTAGATCGGGCCTCGTTAAGAGAGAAAGAATTTTCAAAGTATGGAAAAATCAAAATCGCTCACTTTCACATCATGAAGTGACCTAATCACCGAAAAGTTATCCAACAGGTTCAATTATTTATCATACCTAGGATTTTCAAGAATACTGACCAAGCCATACACATTTTTTCAAAGTGCGTTAATATGGTCGATATCAACGCACTTTGAAAAGAAATTCTATTTTTTCAAAGTGCGTTGATTTGGTCCCAAATTTAACGCACTTTGAAAATTTTTTTTCATCACAAAAGGAGGAATATCACGTGACGTTCTTTCAGCCAATGAAAACTACGAAAATAATCTTCCTATTATAATACATCTAAATGTCGAGTTGACGGCCACATCAAGCTATTTCTTCTTTTCACACATACACTAGATTTTGCACAAAATCTGCTTCACATGAATACAAGTCTGCTCTAGAGTCGCGAAGTAAGGAGTATATCCTTATGTCGCGGGTTCAAATCCCACTTTGGGATGTGGAGACCTGTCTTTCGAATGAGACTTTATAAACCGAGGTCTCGTGTTGCACTAGGTGTTGGCACAAAAAAGATCCTTCCCTGCTCAATGGCCCTAAGTGCCGAGTATTGGACAAGATTTGCAACTCTCCACCGGCAAGTGGCGGCGTCTCTATATGGGTGAAAAATTCTCGAGAGGGACGCTAAACAATATACGAGAAATCGATCATATGAATAGAACCAGAAGTCTCTGTCGAGACTGAAGCTCTACTGGTTTGTACTTATAGCAAAGGAAGAGAAAAGTACTTAAGCAGTTGGAAATTGAAACTTTTCAACAGCAATAAATAGAATAATGATCCTTGATTAAGTCTCTTTATGTTCTTAGTGCAGTCTACTTGCATGCCACATTTATATTATAATCAGACTAAAATTGTATTTGGAGTAGTATTTTGAAAGAATTTCACAGAAATTTCTATTTTTAGTAACCACGGCAACACCGTTCATCGAAATCAAAAACTGATACACAGAATTATGCATCTTATTGTAGTCTACTTGTGTGCCAAGTTATATTGAAATCAGACTAAAACTGTAGAGGGAGTAGCATTTTGAAAGAATTTCACAGAAATTTCTATTTTTAGTAACCACGGCAACACCGTTCATCAAAATCAAAAACCGATACACAGAATTGTGTATCTTAGTGTAGTCTACTTGTGTGCCAAGTTATATTGAAATCAGACTAAAACTGTAGGAGGAGTAGCATTTTGAAAGAATTTCACAGAAATTTCTATTTTTAGTAACCACGGCAACACCGTTCATCGAAATCAAAAACCAATACACAGAATTGTGTATCTTAGTGTAGTCTACTTGTGTGCCAAGTTATATTGAAATCAGATTAAAACTGTAGGAGGAGTAGCATTTTGAAAGAATTTCACAGAAATTTCTATTTTTAGTAACCACGGCAACACCGTTCATCGAAATCAAAAACCGATACACAGAATTATGTATCTTAGTGTAGTCTACTTGTGTGCCAAGTTATATTGAAATCAGACCAAAACTGTAGGAGGAGTAGCATTTTGAAAAATTGTTTACAGACAGACAGACGGACAGACAGACAGACAGACGGACGGACGGACGACGGACGCATTACTATCGCATAAGCTCTTCTGGTCTCTGACCAGTAGAGCTAAAAATAGGTCTGCTAATAACGGATGCAATTGGTACCCATGGGGATTCCATTAGATTTTTTGAAGACCTGGTCTCCAAAAACTATGTACAGATTGGAAGCGCATGCACATGAAAATTAATATACTTTAAGAAAATTTTTATCAAATCAATATAAAGAAAAAAAAACTATTCTGCGCTTTTGTTCGATTCAAACAGGCATTTAATACGGTATGAATAAATGGGCTTTGGACCATTTAGTTACATGTATATATTATTGGAATATACTAAGCATGTATATATTATTGGAATATACTAAGTATGCAAAATGTTTTAAATTTATCCAAAATATGTTCATATGTGTTAAGTCTATATAGTAAAAATGAATGGCATGCCCACAGTCCACAGAACTGTATAGCTGTAATGTAGGAGTAAAGCAGGATATGGAGATAACGAACAGTATTCAATATCAAAGTCCATAAAACAATACTACAAAATAGGAGCAGAGCAAACAAGAACCTCCGATACATCAGAGCAGGGAGGAAATCTTTTACCATTTTTTTATTTTCGATGTATATAAATGACCTTAAAGATTCTTATCTTACTGATTATGAATATTGCAGGCTTACAAAGTATTTCAAGGTCCAACGAGAATAAATTACTATTAACGTAGCTTCTTCTACAAAAAGATTAGCTGCACTGCAGAACTGTAGCCCTCTGCTTGAGGAAATTCGGACAGATAAAGCACAGAGCTAGATGGTTTTTTACGCTCTTGGAATCGTATCCAATAATTTATCAATCACATATTTTAATCCAATTATTGATACTGGCTTTGCTGTTCTTGAGATTTTAAAAGATTTTTCCTATATCTTCCTATGCAAAACTTTAATAGTACATTGTGGCCCATCCTAACCCCGGGAGTCATAATTTGAACAAACATAAGTCTACAATACCTTAGGATGATTCCACATGAGTTTCATCTTTCCTGGCCCAGTGCTTTTAGAGTAGAAGATTTTAAAAAGATTGCATGAATATTTCACTAATTCATAATGATCTCCCATTGAATCAATGAAGGGTATGGCCCTTCATTTGAACAAACTTGAATCCCCTTCACCCAAGGATACTTTGTGGTAAGTTAGGTTGAAATTGGCCCCGTGTTCTTGAGAAGATGAAAATGTGAAAAGTTTACGACGACTATGACTATGTGAGCTTTGACCATCCTGGCCCCAAGACCTATGTATGCAACTGAACTTTTCAGGTAGCATTGTTTTGCCTTTGATGCGACTTTATAACAAGAGACCCATGGTCCTTATAGGTCACCTGAGCATCATGCAACAACTTTCCAATGATTGAATTTGGTTCAATTGTTTTAAAGTAGACGCAATGTCATTCACAAAATTGAAAGATGCACCATTGCTAATCATTGCTATACGCTGAACAATTGCTTAGTTTGGTTAATTTATACCCATAGGCTGGGTAGGAGGTCAAAAAATACATTTATATATCAACTAATCATAATATTCAGCAGTAATCAGTAGTACCCCTACCACACATGAACACCTGATCCAAGTCCACACATTTCACAATTTTGGAAAAGGCACCCTTGCTTATCAAAGATTTCAAACAATTCATTTTCAGTATAAAAGTAGAACACCCCCTCCCCCCTATGGCAACCCAGACCCAGGGGCCTTGAAATTTACAATTCTGGATAAATGGCCCCTTGCTCATCATATATATATACGTAATACCCAGCAGCAGAAAAAGATTTTCAAAGATTTAATGTATTTTCACTATATAACCAATAGAGCCCCACCCTTACAACAGAACTGACCATGAGGCCATAAAATTCACAATTCTGAAAGAGGCATTCTTGCTGATCATAACTATGTATTTAGTTAGTTTATTTTATGCCCAGGAGCAGAGAAGAAGATTTTCAAGAAATAATGTATTTTCACTTTATATTCTGTATAGCCCCACCCTAGCACTAAAAAAAACCCTGACCCTTGGGCAATGAGTTTCACAATTTTACTTATTACAATCATGCCAACAGTTCGACTGCTTGATGTCCAGGAGTAAAACAGATTTTTAAATATTGCATTAAATTTAGTGGTTTTGGCCCCACCCCTCAGGCCCAAGGGTCAATGAAATTCACAATTTTTGTTCCCTTTCACCCATAAGTACTTTGTGCCAAAATTGGTTGAAATATGTTTAGCAGTTGCAGAGAAGAAACTGAAATTGTTCAAATGTTAACACACGACGCACATGGCACGCTGACAGATGAAAACAGATAGCAATAGGTCCCCCAAGTTTTCTCATGTGACGTAATAACACTATAAACTCACAAAAGTCTTCTTAATCCAAATACATTTGAATTATATCTGTGTAGGGACTTCAGCCTTTCATGCAGGGCTTAATAAACTTAATACTCATTAGACATTGATAAATTTATTAATAAAAACAAAGCATTTTATACACTTGGGTCTTCATCATTGGATTCACTGATTTTTTGTTGCGTCCTAAGGTACTCAGAATAAAGACATCTACTGTAATGTAATACTTTGTGTACATCATGTTTTCTGACCAGTTTGTCAAACATGATGGCGATCTCATCGTATTCCAATTTCTTCTGCAAAATGCGATCTCTATGCTGTTGTAGCAATGACAAACAGAGAAACATTAGGAACGGATTTCCACAACCAAAATCCTGTGGGGCTGGGAGACACGCATTTTTATCATCATCATGTTTGACTATTTCCAAAGAATTTGACAAGTTCAACTGTTCTGATTGACAACTGGAATTGTACTCAGTACTGAAATTGACAGATTGTGTTCCAGGTTTTTCTTGTCTCAAAATTTCCTTTTCAGAATTGGTCGAAATATCATTCAAACCATGTGTAAAGACATGTTTTCTGCAACTGCTTCCAAATATCTCCTTTTGTGATAAATTACAATCTTTATTATCAGGATCAGGGTACGCATTCTCAGCTGCAAAAACATCAGAATCTTCACAAACTCCATCTGTGCTCACAACTTTTCCACTTGCATTAGTTTTATTCTCTTGACTTTCATCTAAAGATATGTAGAACTGAGACTGTTCTTCCTCCTGAAGTAATTCATTGTCATGTCCTTCAATACACATGTTAGTTGACTTCTCAGAGTTCCCATCCTCATTTAGAGATATTACTTTTTCTTTTGTAAACTGAGAACTGGGATATACTGCAATTTCATCATTCTCTGGGATATTTTTATCATTATCCAAAGAATTCTGAAAGTGTGAATCTTTTTCAAGGAAATTTTCTTCCTTATCATCATGACTTTTTCCAACAGGATGTCTTAAAGATCCATCAATGGATGAACTCTTTACAACCATATTCCTGGTCTCAGTATCATTTAAGACAGGATATTCTTGGGAATTCACTACAGAGCTTGATTCATCGAAAATATCAGTCGTTCTGGAGTTATTGTTTACACTTTTCTGAGCTAATTCCTGTTCACTTTTATTTTCCCCATCTAATGATGAATTATTTTTTAATATTGACTTTTGTCTTCTCATGGCATTTAGTTTTGCATAAACAGTTTGTTGGATACCAAAAGATGGGGAGCATGGTAAATGAGACAAGTTTTCCTTTGAAAATGACTCATCCACAAGGGGAACTTCTAAACTTGGTGGATCAGGTGGTAATGTGCTCCACATTACTTCCAACATGTAAAGAGCATCTTCAAAAGGAAATTCTCTCTTGAGTTCTAATAATATCCATCTGTAACAAAAGAACATGTCGCTAGCACTGATTTTTTGGAAGTAGGAATGCAACTCTGAGTCATGGACATGAAGCAGATCAGAAAGATGTTTAAATTTCATGGTTATGGCTTGTCCATTGATATTAAAATTATTCTTCAGTCTTCTCATCATGGCACAAAAACAGAGATAGGTTTGAGCCTCATCTTTCTGTGTGACAAGCAGTGGAGAAGCTATATCACTCATCCCTTGGCAATATGAAGTTTCTGGGTGAGTCAATGCAAATGTTACCAGCACATTAAACAACGAAATCAAATTTTTGTTATCATCAGAACCAGAGTAGAATTTGTGTGTACGGTCAGTTCTTAGAACATCTTTTTTAACCATCGATGTCACAAATTTCATTTCTTCTGACATTGACTCTCCATTTACTAATCTTTTCCAATGATCTCTCAAGTCAAAATATTCTTTTTCTTTTCTCTTCATATACTCAAATCTTTCCTTACCAGAAAGTCCATTTGGAAATATATTTAGCAAGTGCCTCCAAGCTACTCTTCTCAAAGATGGTTCACAGCCACCCTGATATATACTTATCCGAAATTCTTCTGGTTTAATCATGTGCCCAACTGAGTCAAGAAAATTTCTGAATTCCTGATCAGACATTGGGGGTTTTGCTGCCTTAAATTTAACTTCTTCCTGCACTTTAATTCCTGTTCAATAAAGAAATTACAATACAGACATCAATCTAAAAGGTTTCCATTAATATGCATTAAACTGAAAGACAATGGATGAATAAGGACTTGGAGTGGCCTGAATGTCTACCGTGGAGTCATTTTTCATGGAAGATCAATGTTCATTAATTCCGTGGACCACTCTAACCAACAAATTAACATCCCAATGAACAATAATTAAGGGGGCCGAATACATATAGTTTTATTGTGTGAAAACTACAATAGCGAAACTCTTCATTTTTATACCATGTATAACTTACATTAACTTCAGTGTACATGCAAAGTTTGGGGGAAATCTACCATCCAGTTATTTGTGAGGGTCCGTCTCAAAATACAGGTACATTTACTATAGGATTATATAGGAAAATGCCATTTTTTAGCACTTTAGAGCAAATTATACAAATACTACAATAGACATTTTGTTCAAACTATAATATTTGATGAGTAATACTATATTATACTATATTTGTAAGAAACACAAAATTCTACCATCTTGTTACCAGAGGGGGCATCTCAAAATGCAAAAAATTAGCGAATTTTACTATTTTTATAGATTATTACAAAATATGACGTACACAATGGATTCACATGAAAACATAATAAAAATATTGGAGATATTCTCAAATTTCTAGGTTTTAAATTTCAAGAGCGAATGTTTATTACTTTTTCTTTAATAATATTTTTATTACCCCTTTCTTTAAGAGCTATAGATTATCATAACGTCAAAAACACACTGCTACGATGTCAACCTACCTATCAATTGTAAAATCGGTTAAAAAATCAGTTATATCAAATTGTAATTACATTTTTATACCTATAATGTCTTAATTTTGTTTAATTTTAATAATTAAGCGAAGAAAGTTGCGTTAAAACAGTAAATACGCTTCATTTTACTATGATGCGCAAAATAATGCGCAATGGAAACTATAGTCGGCCCCCTTAAATCAACATAGGGTTAACTGAATCTGTATATACAAGCCCACAAAATTCTGTTTCCACCAAGCAATAAAAGAAACAAGGATTGCATAGGGCCTTTTTTGCCCTGTGAGTTAATGAAAAATAAAAATGTATAGTTTTGGTTGACGATGTACATGTAATACACTTGGACCCTTGTAACATGACAAAATTTTCTTTCTAGTCAATGCATTGTGTCATGAAAATCATTATTTTTACCATGCTATGTAAATTCCTTTCAAAATGTCCAAAAGTTGTACTATTTTAAAAAAAATTTCATATAGAGCCGTTACATAATGAAAGATCTACTCCTGAAAATCATAAAACGTTAAAATTTTGGGATCATTTTGCTCATATTTTCATTATTTGTTGATGGTAGTCAAATATGCCTGTTTTCTGCAAAATTCAAAAATATTGCATTTTCATAAAGCGTGTTTTTGATATACGAGATATGACAGAGGGTGATAGTCAATTAATCAACATAACTAGAAATATGTCCATATGATATGAATGCCCATCAAGTGCATATAAGTAATTTAACATGAAAATTTGTATATTAATGTATGAAGTTTTATGAGAATATAGTGAATAATTTCTTTAAAATATAAATTGAAATCTAAAAAAACTAGAACTGTCCAAACGGGACAAAATACCCCCCGCTGGGTTTTTCAGAAGTAAGTTTTTCCATAATAAAGATATGTATCAAACAGGAATTATGAAATTTTTCTTCCAGTGACCTTGAAATTCCCTAAATGAACTTGGGTCAAGGTCCTGACACACCCTTGGGTCATGGGCAATCTTTGTGTGAAATTAGAACCTACCACGCTTATCCATAAGAAAGATATGGACCGGACACGAATTATGAAATTTTTCTTCCAGTGACCTTGAAGTTGCCCAAATGACCTTGGGTCAAGGTCATGACACACCCTTGGGTCATGGGCAATCTTTGTGTGAAATGAGAACCTACCAAGTCTATCCATAAGAAAGATATGGACTGGACACGAATTATGAAATTTTTCTTCCAGTGACCTTGAAGCTACCCAAATGACCTTGGGTCAAGGACATGACATACCCTTAGGTCATGGGCAATCTTTGTGTGGAGTAGTAGATTCTAATGTCCCTCTGTAAGAAAGATATGGACCGGACACAACGGACAGCTAGACGGACAGACGGACAGATGGACAAGGTGATTCCTATATACCCCCCCAAACTTCGTTTGCGAGGGGTAAAAAAATGGATATTAGATGATAAATTATCACCAAATTATATATAGGTGTATAAGCTTACCTAAAAATATCTTGAATGGTTTCTTTAAACTAAGCAAAATGAATTAAAGACAAAGAGGTCAAGGTCATAGGTATGTGCAAGGTCAAATGTTTTTGATGCAGTAGAATATCTCTTACTAATAAGTATTAGCATATTTTTAAAGTCTGATAAAATGTCTTGAATGGTGTCCTTAAAACTGAGTTAAACAAAACTAATTCAAGAAAACTCAGAGAACAAGGAAAGGAAAGATAAAGGTCCAAAAATTTTGATGTAGTTGAATAGGTCTCATCAGTATGTATCAGCATATTGAGTTTGATTACACTTTCTTTAATGATGTCTTTAACACTGAGTTAAACACTAATTAAAGAAAACAGGTCAAGGTGAAAGAAATGATCAAGGTTAACAAATAATGATCAGTTGAATAGGTCTCATCAGCATATGAAGTTTACATTATCTTGCATCTATACCAATTTAAGAAAAGGTCAAAGAAAAGGTCTAGTTAAACAAGAGGCCCATGGGCCACATCGCTCACCTGAGAAGCTTTGACCATTCTGTTCTTTAACAGATTTCACCCTTGTTATACATAATGCATCCCCACCCTACCCCACTGATCATAATTTAGACATTTTGAAATCTACACTACCCCATGATCCTTCCATGGGCACATATGTTTCAGCTTTTTTGGCCCAGTGGTTCCTGAGAAGAAGATTTTCAAAGATTTTTCCTATATATTTCTATGTAA